GAGAGGGCCCTCCTGCCAACAAGAGGAGATGCAGGAGCTCTGCCCTCTGTCCTGCGTTTGGGTGTATTCTCAAGAGGATGTGAGTGTCGTGCCATTGTGAGCTTTGGCACAACCCAGGGGGACATCACCCACCCCCCCAAGCTGGGATATAAAGGTGGACAGAGCCTGGGTCCTGCATGACAGGGCCACCCTGCAAGGATGTGCCTCAAACTCTGTCCTGAAGGCCACAGTCTGATTTCCCACTTGGCAGCAAGCTGACTCTGTGCTCTTTGGGGGGCGGGGGGACGGGCTGTCAAGCTGGGGCTTTTAGAACAGGGTTGACGATGTCTGGTCCCCCAGCTGACGGTGAGGCCACAGCCGGAGCCTACCATGAGCAGCAAGGCCGGCTCCAGGACCTCACAGGCGTCTGGGCACCTCGGGTCCTGACGGGGCCACCTCCCCAGGCATCTGGAAACGGGGCTGTCAGTCAGAACGGTCAAGTGGGGAGGGGCAGGTCCCCCTCTGGGGCGCTGGCCTGGCTCACTGTCCAGAGGGCTGTTAGCATGTCCCGGTTTTGTCCTCTGACCCTCTTATCTGCCGAGGTCTGGGGGGAGGACTGTGAGGAGGTGGCATCTGAGGTTGCCTGGGAGGAGGGACGGCAAGGGCGGAAAGTCCCCCATGAGGGAGGAGGTGGGCCGGCCCCCGGGAGGACCCTGACTCACTGGGCCTCTGCCCCGCCCCACCCCCACCGCACCCATCCCCGCCCTCCTGGCCAAACCTCCACGAGGACTGGCCGCATCACTCCCACTGTCCTGCCCACTCACTCGTGAACTCACTCCAGTGGGGCGTCCACCCCACAATCTACAGGCATTGTGCTGTCAAGTCGCCAGCAGCCTCCTGCTTGACCGATGGACATCTCTGTCCACCCCGCACTGGACACCCGCGCCCGTCCACCTGGCCACCCCCAGCCCCCGCAGCCCCTCCAGTTCTTGTTGCTTCTTTTCCTACCTGACCCTGAGTCGGCAGAGGCCGCAGCCGCTCCTGGGCCCCCCATCCCGGGTCCCCGCCTACGACGGGCACCAACACCCAAATGCCCATTCGTCCTTATGGGCAATTCTGATCTCTCCAAAGTGCCGGCATGACCTCCCACCCGGCATGCAGTCCTCCGTGTCAGGCCTGGGGTACCTCCTCGTCTCCTCCCTGACCTTCCCCCACATCCAGGGGCCCCCAAGTCCCACAGCTCCACATCTGCTGACTTCCTTGGGCATTCTCACTGGAGCGCCTGCTGTCCCCAAACAACGACCTCCTCTGGCACTGATCTAGTCACACCACTGCCACTGAGAACAGGTTGGGTGGGGGTCCCCTGCTCTTGGAGCCCAAACCCAATCCCCTGCCCACACCCGCCGTCCTGACACCTCCACTCCCACCCCCAGACTGCTCCCCTGTGGGCTCTGACCATCTGAGGCTGCCTCCCACATGCACAGACAACAGCCTCTGCCTGGGCTCAGCATCAGGACCTCAGAGCCAACAGTTCACCAGGGCCTGTGAGCTGATGAGTGAGGCGATGAGAACACGGGGACCCGCTGCGGCTCCTGTGGGGTCCGGCCATCACAGTCCACCTCAGGAAGCCAAGAAGGGCAGGCTGGAAGGCAGCGGATCCTCACCCTACTCCCAAGGCAGACCCAGAGGCAGATACCTCTGGTCACAACTGACAAAGATCCCTGGTTCCCAGCCCTGCACGACCCCAGGCTCATGGAGACAGGGGCGGCCTCGGTCAGAGACACATTTGGGGAGCTGTGGGCCATTAAGTCAAGTCAGGACAGAGTGGGGCCAGGGTCCCTAAGTGTGAGAGGCCAATGAGGCGGTGAGCAGCGTGGGGGGCCAGCCAGGAGGGCTGGAGTATGTCTGGGGGTCTGTGAGCCCCAGCAGTCTTCTCTGCCCTGGGAGAAAGCCACACTTAGGGCGCCAGCTCCCACTCTGATATCAAGACATGGGGCCTCACGGCAAAGCCGACCCCACAGCAGTGCTCCCCATCACTGCCTCCCAACCTCCTCCAGGAAGAGGCTCCAAGGGGGAAGCATCAGAACAGGTAGGAACCCAAAACAGGCTGTAAGGAGGGCATGGCAGGACAGACCCTCTCTCTGAGCCCATCTCTCATCCCTGTTTCCACGGGACTCACCAGGGACATGCCCAGAGACCAAACGGGGACTGGATAGGCCAGCTCTGGCTCAGAGGTAGGAGGGGACCCGCTCAGGCCCAGACACCGAGAATGGGAGCTGGCCCTGCAGGACTGGCCCTCTGGCCCTTCCCAAAATATACACTCCCTGCCCCACGAGCCCTGGTCCCCGTGCAGCCCCTCACACTGTCCTCACCTGGCAGGCTGAGGCCTTTTCAGGGTGGCTTCCACCACCCCTCCCACTGCTCCGTGCCCTCTCGCCTGCCCGCCTCATCCACTTGCCAGCAGAGCTGACTCCTGGTCCTTGCACACCAAGTAGGGGTCTACCTGCTCCCCAATGCAGGCTCTACCGGGGCCCACAGAGATGCTGGGGAGGTGGGAGGGCCGGGACGGGGGAGAGGGCCACGGGAAGGTTGGGAGTGTGAGACAAGTGGTTGTAGCCATGTAGTCCCTGGGCACCTGAAGAGTGGGCCCGGAGGCCAGCTGGCTGGAAAGCAGGCAACCAGACCCCAGGCAGCAGCGTGCTGGGGGATGGAGTTGAAAGGAGAGGTGGAGGGATGCGTGGAATGGAGCTGCCCCCTTCCCACAGCCCCCCGTGACCTTCCAGCCAAGCTCTGAACTGCTGTTGGTCCTCTCCCAAAAGATACCCCCCGGATGCTACCGAGACACACACACACACACACCACCAGTCTGGTGGGTGCCCAGTTCACATCACAAGTGCAGGGCAGACTTACAAATGGACTTCAGCGCCGTGTCCTGTCTGCCCCTCCTGGGTGTCATGCTGCCTGGGCCAAGGTTGCTGTGGGTTCCCCGGGTCTGGGCCACCACCAGGCCCGGGTAAGGTGGGACCAGGCTCCAATGCTCCTAGCCTGAGACTGCAATGGTCACCAGGGAGCAAAGATGGGACCTGATCCCATCAGGCTTCCGGCTGTCATGGGCTAGGGGAGCCCTTGGGCACCAGAGCAGAACCAGGGGCTTGGGGACACTTCTGGGCCTGAGGTGCAGGGACATGGGCCAGCACACCCTGGGGTGCAGGATGGGAAGAGCAGAGTCAGGGTTACGGAACCTCTGGAGGTGGGAAATATTAGATTGCAGGGAGGTGTCTCTGGAACAGAGTTGCAACGGTCCCTCCCAGGAGCTCCTGAGGGCTGCCTGTGGAGGAGACCCTGTCCCCAGCATGTCACTCACTCGCACCCTCTCCTCCCACCCCCTCCCCAGGATGTAGCAAACAGCACCTGAACCTTGGATACAAAACTGTAAACACAAGTCTTTAAAATGACAGAGGCCTTCTTGGCCCCAAACTCTGAGCCAGAGGCCACCACCGAGGGACCCCCACCCAGGGACCAGACCTCCGCCCCTGTCCTCCCTTCCCACCCAGGCCCCAGCAGGCTGGGGAGGGCCCTTCCACTCCAGGCCAGGTCGCACACATGAGCCCACGGGCGGGGGACAGCCTGGCTGAGGAGGGCTGAGGTCTGCGATCCGAGGGGGTCCCTGAGACGAAGAAGCGCTGCACCTGGCCCCGTGGGGAGCCCGCCCCCACCCCATCCCATGCAAACTGCGCACCCCACGGGACAATGTCTTTGCGCCCCGGGGGGCGTCCCTGGGGCCGCACGGGCCCTGTCACGTGTCCAGGGCCTCACGCGTGGGCGAGGGCCCGCGGGGGCGTCCGGGCGGGCCATGCAGCGGCTGGGCTGGCGGCACAGAGTTGCGCTGCTGCGGAGGCGGCGGCTGGAGCTCTAGCGCAAGCGCTGGCGGCGGGAAGTCGCGCACCTGGCGGCGGTACTCGAGAAAGGTACAGGCCTTGGTGGCGAGAGCCACCACGTTCTTGCCGACGAAGATGGCTGAGACGCGGCTGTCGCGGAAGAGCGCCATGTTGGCGGCACGTGCCAGCACGGCCACCACGTTGACGGTAGCGAGGCTGAGCACTGGGTAGAGCATCATCCTCTGCGGCGCGATGTGCTCACCCTGCATGCTGACCTCGCTGAGCGCCACGCACGGCAGCACCAGCAGCAGCATGTAGCAGTAGAAGAAAGTGAGGCCCTCGGCCCACAGCGGCAGCCCGGTACGCGGCGGCTCCCACAGGCTGGCCTGCATGTCCAGCAGGTCCAGCAGGTCCAGCGCCACCCAGAAGAGGCGTCCGCGCAGGTCCTCGCGCTTGCGGAAGGTGCGCACGTACTCCATGCGGTCGAGCGCCACCAGCAGCAAGAAGAGTCCGGGCACGCACACGGACAGCAGCAGCGTCAGCGCCTTGCGCGCCACCGGGTCAGCCGCGCCGCGCCGCGCCGCCTTGTAGTTCTGGAAGATGAAGTAGAGCTTGATCTCCAGCACGAAGATGTAGAGGAACCAGAGGATCATGGCGTAGCCGCGCTTGGCCGTGCGCACCTCGGCGCCCACCCACACGGCCACATAGCGCAGCACCAGCAGGAAGCACACGTCGCCCACCAGCACGATGATGCACACGCCGATCTTGCGCGGGCCCTGGTTCTGCTCCACCAGGTACGCGTCCATGACCGCCATGCTGCCCATGATCACCAGCGTGGTCAGGCACACGTGGCGCCGGTCCGGGGGCGGCAGCACCATGGTGGGCCGCTGGGGCCCCGGCCTGGGCGCGCGCGGCCCCCACGCGAGGTGGGACGAGGCCCGGCAGCTGGGGGGCTCAGCCCGCAGGCATGGCGCTGCAGGGCCCGTCCAGCCGCCCCGAGGGCGCCACTGCTCCCGGACCACGAGCTTGGAGCCTGGGGAGATCGGAGGAGACAGAGTTAGGGTGTGGTTGAGGGATGGCTTCCCCCCCAGCCCCCGCGAAGAGTCCGAGCCCTCTGTGGCACGCACACACCAATGCACGCCCGGGGGACCGGGAACCGGCCGCGGGGCCTCCAGGGGGCGCTGCAGCCCCACCTGAGACCCAAGACCTCATTCCTGCCGCCGTCCGGAAGGAAATGGAACGGAAGTGGCTTCTCCCCGCCGCGCGCGTCCCTAAACCCCGGTGGTTCATCCCTGCTGGCCCTACGCGGCAACCCCTGTGGCTCTAGCGGCCTGGGCCCCACGTCCGAGGCCGTTCCTCTGGGGGTTCGGGCGTCCTCTTTCCCCAGGCGCAGCGCTGGGCAGGGAGGCGGGCCTGCGCCCTCAGTTCTGCGCATTCGGGGAGTGCGGGAGGCCGGCGGAGGCCCAGGCCCCATCCTGGGACCCAGGTTTTCTGATCCAGGACTGAGAGCCGTCCAGGTCCCGAGGACCCCATCTCACAAGCCTCTCTGCCTCCCTACCCCCATCTCAGCCTCCCCTCGGGTCCGCCTCCCACCCGGTGTGCGGACCATTCTCTACCCTGCTCCCCCCATGCGTCCCCATTGCCTTGGGAGGCTGGCGTCCTGGCCGCATCGCCTGCTGTGTACCTTCCCCTGCACCTGCCAGCACTCCCACGGCTGCCCTGCTCACTGTGAAGGGGTGGCCCCCATGCTCCCTCCCCAACACCTTCATGGCAGTCTAGCGAAGCCCGCCCTCTGCTGTGACCACCAGGACCCCCCTTGGGCTCCGCAGACCGCTGAACCTCTCTCACACCCCTGGCACCGATCGTCATGGCTGTGCTGGTGGGACTCACACACACACCAGGCTGCTGGATCCCACACCTGGGCCACTTCACACCCTGGGGATGTCGGCAGCCCGCACACTCGCACCCACCCAGAAGTCACTTGCAGGCTCACTTCCAGCCAGGCCCACAACCCTGCTCTCCCCTCCACAGCACCCCTGACCCCAGGGCTCTGTTTACAGCCCTGTCTAGACAAGGACATAAAATTTAATAGTCACCCGTGACTATGGAGCCAGTGCTTGGCCTGCCCCTGGTGACAACAAAGTCCCCACTGACAAGGTAAGGAAGCCCTCTTCCAACTGGGCCCCCCACCTAGCACTCCGCTCCCAGGGGTCCCTGCAGCCACACACACGACCACTGACCACTCTGAGCGCAGACACCTTGAGTAGAGAGTGCCTGGGGTCATCGGCCTGGGCCCCTCCCTCCACAGTTCCATGAGCTCCTGCTCCCCACCCACACGCCCACCCTGTTCTCATCCCCACTGGGTGGACATGCCTGACCAAAGGCGCGCGCGCGCACACACACACACACGCACACGGGCCTCCTCTGGCAGCAGGGGCAGCCTGGGAATTTCCTTCCCCCAGCTTGGCCAGGCCAAATAGCCAGAGAGCCGCCACACCGCCACCCCCTTCCTCTGCATCCACTCCACAGCGCCCCTCAGTCACTCGTCAAATCCGAGCTGAGGGTGTCAGGACAGACCCCATCCCAACCGGAGCACACTGAGGGAGCCCCGGCCCCTTCCTCTGAAGCCACAGCCGGGCCTGACCACCCCTCCCCAACCCTGCCTGGCCTCTCTCTGGCACTGGTTCAGGCCCTCCTGCCCTGGCTGTCCAGTGCCGTCCCTTGTCCCCCGCACACCCCTCCGCCGGGACCGCACAGATTCGGCAGTCTCGGGCCCTTCACTGCCCCCCCCCCGACCCGAGACCACCCTCCGTGCCCACGAG